GCGCTTGAGGTGTGGGCACTGGTCCTAGGGCCCTCGACAAAGCCTCTTGCTGCACACGACCGATCACCACTTGCAATGCGCTGTTCGTGTAGTCCTCGGCAGGCACTGTTTCCACAAGGGATGCCAGCTGCTTCTTGGCTGGATCCTGGCTGCGTGTCTCAAATGTGTTTGGCTCGAAGGCATGAAAACATAATCGAGAAAAACAGCTCCTTGCGGCTGCTAGCAGTGGTGCTAGACTGATTGGAGGATGAAGACAGGCTAGTGACAGTGCTGGGGGAAGAAGCCGAGCTGCTGGCGCTGGCAGAATCGCTTGAGCCGGAAGATGCACCACCCTGGGGCTGAAGCTCACCTGAGATGTGATGTGCGATGTCCCAGACCATGGACCATTGCACATGTATGCGTGTGCATGCAAGGAATTTAGTGTCCAAGTTACCCTCTTTGCTGGTAGCTGTTGACTGGCCCTCCTTGCTGACAAGGTAGCGTGTCAGTGGGACTTGCGCAGTCTCCCTTGGAGGTGGCTGTCTCAAATTTAAAGTCACCGGGAATCGGGGCCCTTTTGTGCACCATCGAAGCAATGTCCCGTCCTTTGGCTTGGCTTCCTCCTTGCAGCTATCTGGCCCGTCCTCCCCAAGTGCCTCCGCCGGCTCCGACTCACCCTCGGAGACCACCGGCTGCTGCGCTTCATCCTCTGAGACCTCTGGCTCATCATTCTGCGAAGCCTTTGCCTCTGGCTGCGCTTCCTTGGTGTGGATGGTGGAGATGTCGGCCCCGTCATCCTGAGAAGCCATTGCTCCCAGCTGCGACTCATCCTCCGAGATGTCTGGCTCGCCAGTCTTGACCTTCGGCCAATCCTCCTCCGACTCACCCTCAGAGACATCCATCTCATCATCCGAATTCGAAGCCATCAGCTTTGGCTGTGCTTCCTCCAACTCACCCTCAGAGACGTCCGACCCCCACTGTCCCAGAAGCAAAGTGGGCTGTGTGCCCAACAAGCTCTCCATTTCCCGGGAGTCAGGCTGCCGGTCACACTCCATTAAAGCTGCCCGTCGGCGCTTAGCACTGTCGAACACAGCACTTTCAGGCTCATCAGCCTCTGAAGCCTTCACCTCAAGATCCGACTCGCCCTCGGAGACGTCCGGCTGGTCAGCGTCCAACGCCTTCTCCTCAGCGATGTCCGGCTCATCAGCTTCTTCTACCTCTGGCTGCGCTTGCTCTGACTCATCCTCAGAGACTTCCGGCTCATCAGCTTCTTCTGAAGCCTTTGGCTGCGCCTCTGACTCATCCTCGTCCTCAGAGTCATCAGCTTCTGAAGCCTTATCCTCGTCCGGCTCACCGGCTTCTTCTGAAGCCTTCACATCTGGCTGCGCTTCCTCTGACTCATCCTCATCCTCAGAGACGTCCGGCTCATCAGCTTCTGAATGCTTCACCTTTGGCTGCTCTTCCTCTGACTCATCCTCAGAGACATCCGACTCATCAGCTTCTGAAGCCTTCACCTCTGTCTGCGCTTTATCAGAGAGGTCCGGCTCATCAGCCTTCGCCTCTGGCTGCGCTTCCTCTGACTGCACCTCCTCCGACTCATCCTCAGAGACATCCGGCTCATCAGCTTCTTCTGAAGCCTTCACCTCTGGCTGCGCTTCCTCTGACTGCACCTCCTCCGACTCATCCTCAGAGACATCCGGCTCATCAGCTTCTTCTGAAGCCTTCACCTCTGGCTGCGCTTCCTCTAACTGCACCTCCTCCGACTCATCCTCAGAGACATCCAGCTCATCAGCTTCTTCTGAAGCCGAAGCCTTCACCTCTGGCTGCGCTTCTGACTCATCCTCAGAGATGGCCGGCTCATCAGCTGGCTGGGCTTCCTCTGACTCATCCTCAGGGACGTCCGGCTGGTCAGCGTCCGACGCCTTCTCCTTTGGCTGCTCATCCTCAGCAACTTCCGGCTCATCAGCTTTTTCTGAAGCCTTCCCCTCTAACTGCACCTCCTCCGGCTCATCCTCAGAGACATCCGTCTCATCAGCCTGTGAATCTGGCTGCGCCTCCTCCGACTCACTTTTAGAGACTTCCGGCTCATCAGCTTCTGAAGCCTTCACCTCGAGATCTGGTTGCGCTTCCTCTGGCTCATCCTCCGAGGCATCCAGCTGGTCAGCCTCCAAAGCCTTCACCTCCTCATCGGTCTCCGACATCTCATCCACCTGCGTGTCCTGCATCATCCTCTCACCATGATGGCTCAAGTCGGCCAAAGGAACCTTCGGATGAGGCAGCCGCGCATCCACCTCTTCCTGCGCAGAGGCAGTGGACCCATCCTCGTCACTTGTGGAGCCAGCGTCTGATCCAGACTCCTGCGTGGGATGGATCCGCAGGATCCAGTGTGCAGGTGCCGAGCAGACTGTTGTGATAGAGGAAAAACCACACACGCAGACAGACAGACAGACAGACAGACAGACAGACGGACGGACGGACGGACGGACGGACGGACAGACAGACAGACAGACAGACAGACAGAGAGACAGAGAGACACAGAGACACACACACACACACACGCCCCCAATTCGTGATCTAATTTCAAGCATATATATATATATATATATTAATTGGATGCCATGCGTTGCATACATTCGTGCATGATCGATACACGTGTGCAAAGCGTGACAGGCCTGCATCTTGCCCTTGCTGTGTCCGGCCCCTGGCACCAACCCGCAGGCAGTCCTAGGTTTGGCTACAATGATGGATCGGATCCTACAAAATGGTTAGTACCCCCCCCCCTTCAAGGTCAACAAGGTTTGGGAGGGGCAAAATTTTGAGGCTCTCTGGTAGGACCCCCCAATAACTTGAGAGGAACTTGAGGGACTTGAGGGGCTTGGTGGCCTTTTGCTTGCTTTTTAAGCTTAAACCTTTTTGTTTGAAACATGTAAAGAAATCTGAGGTTTCCTGACAGGTTTGGGGTCGGTGCATATTTAATTAGGAAAGCAATCAGCCTGGTGTTTTAGGGTGGGGGGTGGCAAGGGAGTACCTTTAATCAGCGGGGTGTTTTGGGGAGGCCCCAAAAATAATGGGTAGGGTTGCGTGGCCCTTTACGTGGGAATCTGGTGTACGTGGATCGAAGGTTTTTTTTTGGGGGGGGTACTGATTGTTCCCTGACATTATGTGTGACTTGCTAGCAAACAAATGTGCTGGCGCCAAGGGGCATATCAACATCGCCCATACCAAGGTCCAAAGGCAGCGTTTCCAGCATCGATGGGTCCCTGAGCAGGTGTCAAACCCATGGCCAAAGTACTGAATATTCCGAACCCAATCATGAAGGGCCGTTTAAATTGATATGGAAATTGCCATATGCAATCAATGAGTCGGAGTCTGATCGACGGAGCTTTGTCTTGAAATAGCACTTCCACTAGATGAACGGCTTCTCCTCGCACCAGCCCTGGATTGTCTGATGAACACGCCATGCATCCTGTTCGCCTGGGGATCAGCATTTGTCCCTCACTCAAAGAAATGCCTATTTGCATCATGAAGACAACATGCATGGCAAGCCTGCACTGTGATCCATTCATCTTGTTCACCGGCCTCCATAGTTTGGCCTCAGAGTTTGGTTAGTTGCATGCTCGCCTATGCATGTCCCTGGCACACAACGGTGCACCATAAATTGACAGCAAAGAGGCACAGCTTTGCCTCCACAACCAACTTTGTGACGACTTTGCGGCATTCATTTTCTCGGGGAACCCTTGGAAGATTTGCTTCCTGGAGGGCCAAGATCGCCCACTTGTTTTCTTTTCTTCTGATATCACCGCCACATACGAGTTGGTTGGAGTCCATGATCTCTTTCCGGGAAGGCATATGTTTGCGGCACTTCCGCAATAGCTTCCTCAGCATGAATTGTCATGTTTTTGCAACCATTGAATTTGCAGTCTGGACACACGCCGTTATCCTTCAGCTTGCCAATGCGTGGGCGCGGCATTGCCCGGTGGGGGTGGTCAAATCAGAAAGTAAGTGTTGATTTTGAAGGGGGCTACCCCGTTGCAGTGCATGATTGACTCATGCCTGTGACATGCAACCCCGCCATACCACCGAGCCCAGGTGGTGTCTGCGCTGGCCGGGCGGCTGCTGTGCTGCCTCCCCCCCCCTCATCTGCACCCACCCCTGGAGGTACCAATTGAGGGCACTTTTTGAGTTAGGGTCAAACGAGGGCACTTAGCATAAAAGTGTCGTCCATTCGTACCAACACCTAAGTGCCTTCAAATAGAAGGCACTTGGAGGGTGCTGGTGATCAATTTACTGGTGGTGTCACAGTGGTGTCCCTTGAAACGATCGAGCACCATTCTTGGAGGTTCCAAAAGTTTGGATGGTGGGAAGTCAACATCATAAGCCACGATTTGGAGGGGTCCCCTGAAAGATGGGGGCGGGGAGGGGGGGGGGGGGCAATTTGTTAGGAAATGTCAGGAAGCTGTTGTAAAGCTCTAGGGGCTGATTCCCCCTTCTTTCCTACCACCGTTCTTTTCAATAACCAGCCGCTTTCCCTGGGTTTCCGGAGGTTTTCCAGAAACAAGGATCCCTGGAAAGAATGGGGAAGGTACCCTCAGAAAAGCTGATGTTTGTTCAAATTGTCTGAGCCATGTAGCTTGTGGAGTCTTGGAAGGCTCCATTCCTTGCGTTTTCTTGGACGTCATGTCCACATGCCGCACGCCTCGTTTTTTTCTTTCTTCTCGCCGACCTCAGAGCTAGGGGCTGGATCAAAATGTCTTCACGTGGGGCCCCCCGGCTTTGACCATGGGCCACCTTTTCCCGGAAATCTCGGCATCTTGGTCTAGGTCCCCAAGTAGAAAGGTTAGAATAAGTTGGTACCCGATTTTTTTCTGTAGACTATTTTAGTAGGGGAACCCTCTCCCCAAAAAAGGGTAAAAGGGCACTGGGGGACCTTGTAATTAGTGGTTTGCGCCAATGATCCCATGTATCACGGACCTTCTCGCCAACCCCCGCTTGCAGGTGTCTCACTCCCAACTCTTTCCCGCCTCTCTTCACGCCCAAGAATTTCCCGCGAGGGATGAGCCTTGATTGCGCACAGGGCAGCTGGTTGGCTCAAGCAAACAAAAAGCAGCGCACAGAAAGATCTCTACTACGGCAAAGACACATTCCTCACTCGAACCGTGTGCAACAAGCAACATGGATCCCCTTTAAAACCACCATCAAAAAGTACCGACTCCCACAAAGACGTGCCGCTGATGTCGCGAGTCGACTCGATCTGCGAGGCAATTTTGGGCGCCTCTGAACGAGTGCGGCCTGTCGCGCGTTCTGGATGAGCGCTTAGTGGCGTGCGAGCGGCGCCGGGATTACTGGGCCATAAACCGGCCGCCCTCAAGCTTTGGAAAGGAAAGGGGAGAGTCAAACTCGACTTCACCATTGGCGTGAAACAAACGCCAATGCCGTGAAAAAGCAGCATAAGCCCAAGCCTGGCCTTTTGCCCCCTTCCAGCACATATGGCCTGGCACACCGACGACTCAAGTTGAAAGCAGCGCGGTGTAGTGTCAAGCAGGATCCCAGAGCGTCATGGCATCAGTATATCCACGTTGCAACAGGGGCACGTGTCCTTAGATCTTTTTTGCGTAGGCGCTGAGCCTACACGCTCACTAAGCGTAGCTTAGTCGCAAACCGTCTAAAGCAGGACCAAGCGAATGTGAGCGCTTCAAATGTCGGCCTAGCTTCCGTGCTCCCTTCCGTACTCCCTTCCGTAATTTCACACAGGGCCAACCTCTTCATGTATATGGCTTGGACCCTGAGCACACTAACAGTCGCCGCTAGGAAGACTTTTGGAATGGTGGGTTGAATGCACGGCGCATTAGAAGCCTGGGATCTGAAAAAAGCTCCGAACAAGTTGCGCGAGAGATCCAGAGGCCGCGTGTCACTTCTGAGTCCGGGCTCATCTCTGGGTCCCCGGTCTCGGTGGCTGCCCAGCAACACACTGCGCCAGACCAAAGGGGACGGAACCTGCCACGCGTGCCGCGCCGGAGACGGATGTCACTGGCAGCATGTGCCGAGTCCCAAAAGGCCCACTCGTGACCCACAGCATCGTCTCGAAACTTCCTGAGTGGACTGGCCAAACCCAGTTTAAACTTTGTGTTTGCCACCAAAATGGTCAAAACCAGCTTAAACTTCTTGTTCGCCGCTAAAATTGTCAAAAAGCAAGCTTAAACTTCTTGTTCGCCGCTAAAATTGACAAAAAGCAAGCTTAAACTTCTTGTTTGCCCCACTAAATTGTCAAAAAACAGCTGAAACTTCTTGTTTGCCGCTAAAATTGTCAAAAACGAGCTGAAGACTTCTTGTTTGCCGCTAACATGGTCCAAACCCCAAAAGTGACTCGAGCCCATGAACTCAGCGACTGAGGAGTCTTCTCCGAACTGGGCAAAGCCACGGACCCGCCTTTCAAGGGCGACTCACCGCGCCCATCTATTTTCAAAGCGAATCGAAGGCCCAAGGACATTGAACCGATTACTGCCCTTGAAGACCGGGAAGGTGTTAATAAGTACCGACATCCCGGCATTGACGCCAAGACATCCACAAGAAACAGCTTGAACGTTGACATGGGTTAATATATGGGTCCATACCCTGTCTGGCTCAAGGGCTACGGGGATCGCAGGATAGCCAGCAAACAGGGAAGCCTTCTTGCCGTATATTCTTGCAACATTGCCTGCCGTTTGGGATTTGTAGCTCCAATCCTTGTATGATCAGTTGAGAACGCATGATGTCCCTCAATCTGGGTGGTGGCTTCTAGCCATCTGGAAGGCCTCGAATTTTGAGGAAGCCATCCGAATGTCTCTCAACATAGTGGTCCCCCAAAAAAAAGTTGGTTTCCTTTTGGTGTCCATCAAAATCAATCTATGATGGAAAGCTGCTGGCTATCCTTGGAAATCCCGTGGTTTTTATTTCTATTGCATCTCAGGGATAGCCCGAACTGCGGCTGTGGGTCAAAAATAGGCACCCAAAATGGAATCCTGGTAAATGGAAACATGGACTAAAAACCCCGCTGCCCTGGTCTATTTTTTGACCCATACCCATAAATGAAGCCATCCAAAACGGGTGCCGACAGTTCCACCAACCCACGCCGCGGGTTTCCATATGGCCACGATCTCAGCGGCCGGCGAGCTGTGCTTCTGCCACTTCAGCTTGAAGCGACCGGCCTGGCAGCCAGCTCGCTTGGCACATGCGAAGCGTCCACGGCACGTGGGTCCTGCCTTATAAGGGATCCTCCCATGGGTTGCGTGGGGTTCGGTTTGGGCACCCTTGAGAAAAGGAAGTTGGATGTGGCCGTGGTTGTCAAAACCCTTTTGGGATCCCATTTTGGTTGGTAGGTGAATTCACCACCCATTCTAGGCTTTATTTTAGTGGTTGGATCGGGATGTTCACTGGGGGGTAACCGGGATGTTGACCCATGGTCATAGTTTCCTTGGGGACCCTCCCAATGGGGCTTCATGGTCTTAGACAGGAGGCTAAGAAATAAGACCAGACACTTGCAATCATCCATTTGCTTAAGCCCCCAGTGATGGATGACCTTTGAAATCAGGGGAAAACCGACAAATCGTCTTGAGCAAATGGAAGTCATCCCACAAGACGTTGGTTGTTCTGAAAGCTATGGGGTCGCGAGGCCCAGGTAGGCGATATGGGCTGGCAAGGAGGGTTCTGGAGGGTTCGAGGGGGTGGGGCTGTTGGTGATACCACCCGGGCTAATTGTTCACCAAATCCCAGCCTGCCTGAAAGAGTTCTACCCAGTTGTTTTCCGACCGTATATACATACATATATATATGCATAGCTATTTTCATACATATATACATACATGGTGTATATCTATATGTAGGCACATGACTTATAGGTATACTATTATACGTATATGGTACCCTTCTAACATGGCACCTGACAGGGGGACCCTCCAAGAGATTGATCTTCCAAATGCCTCACAGGTGCCATGCTAGTGGGAGGAAGGGTATTTGCTGCTCTTAAGGTCTTAGGAGCCAACATGAACGCCCGGGTTTTCGTTCCATCCGGGCAGGCCTTCAGCTGTTGGCAGATCTCTGGCGTCAGCCGCGAGACCTAAACAAATCTCTGGCCGCAGGTTTTCTGGGCTGCCCATCTTCAGATCCCCCGCTAAAAATGAATCACTTTTTGAGGCTTAAATGGAAACTACCACTAAACACTAAAAGGCTAAAAAGCTAAGGAACCGGATGGCTGGGAGCCACCTTTTTTCGACCCACCAAACGAAGGGGAAAAAAACACCCCAAGTGGTAGGTTAAGAGGCTACAACAACCGAGTTTCTGACTTTAAGCTCAAACCTTTTGACTTTAACCGAAAAACACATGATCCAAGTACATCCGCGTGTTTTTTTCTAGCCCAGGCCATCCAACCCTCTTTCTGCCCCGGATGGGACCTGGAAACAACAGGTGCATCTTTTGGGGCTGTGACTAACCATGGGAAGCCAAAAAGGGCAAGCCACACATTTGATGTGACTGGACATGTCTCACGATCCTTCGTGAATATCCTTCACCCAGGGGCAATTGTGTGCATCTTGTCTTATAATTACCGTTTATACCTGAAGCTTCAAGCACACGAGGCCGTGGAAAGCATGGAGCCGGTCACTCTGGCGCCATGGCCAAGGGCAGAACTGGGTAACATCATCAGGCAAACATGCCTGATGGTTGTCCCTGGAGATCGCCCCCTCCCACTTTCAAGCCCGACCCTTGCCAATTGGCAGGTGCCCAACTGAGATGAGGCGCTAGGTCTGGTCGCTGTGGAAAGTTGCTGAAATTAGCATTTGTCTCTCACAAAACGTGTTGCACACAGTCGGGAACGCATCCATTGGGTCAGGAGAGAGCAGACTCTTGCGGAGCCAGGGCTGCTTGCCATTTCGGTCTGTTTCTCCATTTTCCAACAGGGCAGGAAAAGGATCTGACATCACCAGGTGACTCAGTGACTCGTCAACTTGCCTGCGCTCTGACTAGGCCTCGCACTCTTGCGGCCAGCCTTGAATACGCAAGCCAGCTCGCGAAGGCTATGACTGCTTCTGGGTACTGGTCCTAGTGCAAAACCTAACCTGAGGCACAAGTTTGCAAGCTCACCTGAGTAGGGCTGTGGGAAATGGAATCCACTTCTGTGATACAACCAAAAGGGCTTCCCAAAAAGACTAACCCCCCATGTGAGATTCCCTTGTATCACAGAAGTGGGGATAAACCCCTTGATCCCACAACCCTGCACCTGAGACATGGAGGCATATTTGCAAACCAGCACTGCAAGAATGCAGCAAGGCACGCCTGGAAGTCAAGCGATCGGTTGCAGCAAGTTTGGATCATTCCAAGTCAAAAGCAAAGCTTGGGTCAGAGCAGGGCTGTTCAAAATGGAGGGTTGGCAACCCAAATCCACAGTCCCGACAGGGAAGCCACTACATAAAACATCCAGGGGTAACTTTCCCATTCCTTCCAGGGACCTTCCTTTTCTAGAAAACCACCAAAAACCCTGGGGAAATGGATCTGCATTTTTTTTCAAAAGGACGATGGCTGAGAAGAATGGAAAAGGAAGCACCCCCTGGAAAACATGGCCCTTGCCCAGTCACAGCAGGGCTCCGAACCCCCAAAAACCTCGCCCTTGCCACTTGCACCGAGCTCTTGGCTTTAAGGTGTCCACCGAAGGCGAGGCCGAGACCGCACCCATGGGAGATGCGCCCACCTGGACACGGATCTCGGGCGTGCCTGTCGTTTTTTTGAGGCTACCTGGAGTCGCCATGACCCTTAAAAAATGGGCCCATGACCCCTCAATTTTGGGTAATGACCCCATTTTTGAAGGCCCTTTTAGGCTGGGCCCCGGTTAGAGGCTCCAGGCAAGGTTGAACCCCCTCATTTTATCAGATAAAATAGGGTTAGTCTATCCTTATTGGAAAATAAACCTGCAACAGTCCAACTTTGACAGAACATAAATGTTGTGCTGGTTTTAAAGGGAACCTTGAAAAGGGGAAATCCACACTTTTGGGGTCTTCATTTCTTTTCCCGTTGGGCCATTGGGCTGCAAAAAGCTACGCGCACACTGTGGCAATCGCAGAAACAATTTACTCACTAACCCACTCGTCGGCAGCAAGAGCCACACGGCCAAAGCGCATATCCACCCATCTGCTTCATGGAACGTGCAAACCAAACTGCCATCTCAAGGGCAGAGCCTCCTGGTGGTGGCCAACCTGGGGCAATGGCATCGGAATGCCGGGATCGCCACCACACAAATCCGATCCTTCTAGTTCATCCCGCACCTGGAGATCCTGATTCCTTCAAGAGAGAACATGGCGAGTGTGCTCTTTTTCCGGTTGTCCCCGTTCTTGGTGGTTTCAATCAAAACCGAAGGAACACCGAAGCCGCGTTCTGGGGTCCAAACCCTCAGAAAAAGGGGACCACATCCACATGGCTACTGGAATTTCCATTTGTCACCCCCCAGATCCCAGATCTCAGCATAGTTCCCCTTTTGGACGGCCATCGACGAAACAGCTCCTTTCGGGCATGAACAGGGTTGTGGGAAATGGAATCCACTTCTGTGATACAACAAAACGGGCCTAACCCCAAAGACTAACCCCCCGTATAAAGGGGGAGATTCCCTTGTATCACAGAAGTGGGGATAAAAATCGCTTGATCCCACAACCCTGGGCATGAAGCCCGTTTTCGTCACGGATCGTGATCTCAGCGCCTCGGCGGAGATGGCTTCCGGCGCGGCACCTGGCCGAAAAGAGCCAGCCCCGTTCTGCCTTTGGAACCTCGCAGGGGGGGAAAAAAGGGGGTCACCTTCGGATTTCCCAAAGCTTGCCTCATGGAAACCCAACAATCGATCGAAAGCCACATTTGGAGGTCCCGAAAAGGGAAACGGAGGCAAGCCTGTCCTAGTTTGGACTATTTTCCTAACAGGGACCCCCGGTCCGTGGGTTCCAAGGTGGCATGCCAAACACTCCATGCATGTGTACCCACATCCACCCTCATGGGTCAAATCTTGGCATGCGTGAATAAATAGCTATCTATCCATCTATCCATCTATCGATCGATCTATGTGTCTGTCTGTCTGTCTGTCTGTCTGGCTGTCTGGCTGTCTGGCTGTCTGGCTGCCTGCCTGGCTGCTCTATCTCTGTCTGTCTCTCTGTCTCTCTCTCTCTCTCTCTCTCTCTCTCCGTCTGTCTGCCTGCCTGTCTGCCTGTCTGTCCGTCTATCTATCTTATCTTATCTTATCTATCTAATCTTATCAATCTACATATCCAGCTATATTATGTGTATCTATTACCTACATGGGTCTTCGAAACACGCGGCGATAGTTCTCTTTAAAGCTAGGCATTGAGGCAAACCAGGCGATCGGCAATCCGCGGCGTCTTGGTGCTTTGGTGTGCAACATGCATCGCCCAGCGTTCGGAGAAGCGAAAGGCATTCGAGAACCCTAACAAGCTTCTGCCCATGGAGCAAACTCGCCTGAGGATCCCTCTTATCAAACGTGCAGGGTGTGTTGGTGTAATCTCCCCCTGCTATATCAAAAACCCTCCTTTCTGACAGACAAGCACTACACGTTAGGCCTCAAAATGCGCTCGGCTGCATTTTGAAAGGTCGCTCTTGCGAACCCGAGGTTTGCATGGACCATGGTACAAACTCAAGCCACGGAGCATGAAGGCCCAAACACGAGCAACGGCTCTCGGTTTCTCGTACTGTTTTGGCTGGCATTCGTTTTGGGTGGCCAAGAACAAATTGTTTGGGCCTAACTTTGTGAGAAACACCCATTGACCCATCTGGCCCCCGCAATGAACCTGCCCGAAGCGGCGACACAGATGGTGGTACACCGTCGGCTGGCCCAGCCGCCTGCGGATGTGATCTGATAGAGTCAACGGATGTGTCTCACTTACCCAATGGACCTGCGAAGCAAAGGTTAACCTTTGGGTTTTTTTTTTACGAAAAGTGGACCGGGGGAGAAAACAAAAAAAGAAAAAAAGAGAGGGGAAAACCAAAAACTGAAAAGGTCGGTTTTGAACAACTGGAGGTGTAGGACATGCTGCTTCCCTGGATCCTCTCCACGGAATTGGTCATCGAATGCGTGGGCTGTGGGCACGCAGGGTCTTGTAGAGATCGGGTCAATGTCCAGCTGTGTCTTTTGTTCAGGTTTGTTGGTGCCCGATTTGCGGCGGTTTCCACAAAAGGCAAAGGAAAACAACTGCCCATCTTGGGGGTCCAAATCCTAAAACCAACAGGCTGAACAGGACCACACCCCAACCGAGGGCTCCGAAGTTCAGGGGACGGAACCAAGAATTGCCATAACCAGAGATGAGCAGTTGTGACACGCCTTGGGTGCTGTAGATCCCCCAGCAAAAAGTTTAACCTTGTGCGGGTTAACAGGAATTATGAGGAGAATCCAAAAGTTAAAGTCTAAAGATCCAACCCGGTATCAGTACAAACGCCTCGACCTTGACAGACCCGAACGCTTGGAGCCTGGTGCTTTCTCCCTTCGAAGGCACTCGCCGCTCTCCTTGGCAAGACTTGGCAAGTTGCGAAGTGCAGGCTTGGAAACCATTTCTGTGGTCAGATCAGCCTACAACTGGGTCCAATCAAGTAACACCCTCAACCAGTGGTGTAGAGAAACGGACACGTAGTCACTACACTCCTTCAGACTACCCTGGGACCTGAAAAGCCCCCTTTGTTGTTGGAGGAATCTCCCAAGCCGCCTCCCTCTTGAGTTCCTCCCGTTAACTTGCCATAGCCCTACTAGGTCCTCCAGTAGAGAGGGCACCCTTTGCTGTCGTCTATTTTATTAGGCAACCCTCCCAACCAAAAAAGAAACGGGTGAGAAAGGGCACCGATTGCTGGAAGACCTAGCGCCTAAAACCAAATTCCAATCGAATCAGAACCCTTCGGAGAAGCGGACTCGGACCTCGGGTCCCTGCGAGACGCGGCTGGAGGGCGAAGCCATGGATGCCATCGGCGTGACCTCTGGCGCTCGCTGGCGATTCGAAGACGCGGACCTCGTGTCTCACAAAACCTCCGAGTCGCTGGAGTCGCGCTTGAGGTGCTTTGGATTCTTGGACCCACTGGCTGTAGCTTTGCAAACAATCTCTTGCAAAGACCCACGGTGAGGCCACTTCGCGCAAACAAATCCAGGCATGGGAGACAAAGCAACACATGCCCTGCCCAGAAAACGGTTGGTGCCTTCACTCCACCTTTGATCCGCCTCGCCTGACCTGGACTGTTGTTTTTGCGTCGTTTTGACGATCGAAAGGTTGCGCTTAGCAGCCCCAGGAACCTGCAGTAGAGAGGTTAGAATCAGGGTGCCCTTGTTTCTGTAGTCTATTTTTGTAGAACCCGACCAACCCAAAAAGGGGAGAGAAGGGCACTGGGGGACCATTTGCCAAATACCTGCCCAAAAAACCACCTGCGCGACATACCCAATAGCATAACAGAGCTGTTTTGAAATACCTCAACTAGTTTCCCTGAGGTGAGTCACCACCACACCCAAACCATACAGGCTTCAACACGCACGTATTTCTGGAGATCGAGCAAGCTCTGGCTGTGGGGTGTGAACAAGCACATATGGTTTTACCATGCGATGGGAAACCAAACACACACGACTGCGCCATCGCACAATACAAGGCATCACCTGACAAAACAAAATGGATTAGTTCAGCATGGGTGGGCGTAATCAGTGGGCTCAAGGCGGGCTGATAAAAGGACACTCTTTTTAGGGTGGATTTGAGTTGGGGGCTCAAGGCGTGTTTGGCTGGTTGAAGGTTGGCTTCAGATGTATGGAATGCTGGCTTCATAGGAATTGGATTTTGTGTAGGGTTAGAAGCGCTGGCTTTGATTCAGGATGGGCTTCGGGGGTGTGATGCCTGGTATGGATTAGTTTCGGCCGTCTTTGGGTGGCTCAGCACTGGATTAGGAATCCCTTCGTGGGACTGAGTGGGATTTTCGGTGGGTCTGAAAATGGGATAGATTAGGTCGGTTTCGGTTGGATTGGTCGTGGCTTGAGGGCGGTTTCATTATTTTGACCTCAAAACACTGACGTCGACAGCTCTTCGCTCCCCACCTCCCAGTCTCCAGCTTGCAGCTCGAGGGCAGCACGGAAATCCTCCACAAAGATCGCCTGGGGTGAGTCATTTTTCTACAGCAACGGGTGTCAGTAATTAGACTGGTCAGAACCCAGATCTAAGGCGGCCGCACTCATTTATGGCTGGGATAGGTTCTTTGGATCACGGTTTTTCAAATGGCCTACCCAGAACCATGCTTCAAGAATTAAGCAGGCGGCCGCACCCCAAAAATGGCACGGGGAGTGTCCCTTTCCGCTCTAAGCCGTCGTCTTCTCCCGCCATTGACCAGCTCGAAGCCATGGGCTTCTGCCGACTGGCCGGTCCCTGACCCTGGAAATTTCAGCGTGGCGCGAGCCGAGGCTCGGCTTCTGGGAGCTGCGTGCCGTTGCAAACTAGACTTGACACGTCAAAATCGGCCGCACGCAAACGCAGACGCGAGGCGTTGCTCGCCCTCATGGGAAAACGGTTTGGAGGTGGCGAATCTGTGGATCCAGGACCGCAGTAGGATATTAAAAGAGTATTAAAAGAGTACAAACAAAGGACCAACAGAAAGGAACGGGCAAAATCCGCGCAAAAAGCACAAATCCCACCGTTTTCTAGACTCGTGGCTCATTGAATCCTTTCTGCCGAAACCGGGCCAGTCGCCTCTCGCCCATCCTGCGCTAGGCACCGGAACCTGGGTGCAAATGCTAGATGGGACATGCGGGAACACACAAACTTCTGAGGTGTCTTTCCTGTTGGGCTCCTCGTAAACCAAGGCTCAAAGGGTATTCTCAAGAAACACGGAGACAGAAAGAAAGAAAGAAAGAAAGAAAGAAAAGAAAAGAAAGAAACACAAACAAACAAACAAACAAACAAGCAAACAAACAAACAAACAGAGACAGAGACAGAGACAGAGTCGGAGACACCAACACAAACACAAACTCAATTGCCAACGTTTCTAAACAAACGGCAAAGAATGCCTCCGGACGGCAGCATGTGGCGAAACAGCCCAAAGAGCGCGAATTCGGTGCAAAATGCACCCTTTGGACCCCCCTACTAAAACACCCCTGCTTTCCGGATTCAAACGGGGAACAAGACCGTCAGGCTCCCGTTTATGCCCACAATCTTGTCACACCCCCAGAAACAAACAACATTCAACCTCCTTGGGTGAGCTCCCTGCATCGCGGAAAAAGGCAAAAGGCATCAGGATGAAGGGAAACACATGATTTGAGACACACATAATATCCCCTACCGTACACAGGGGGGGGGGGGGTCAGGTCCCCCAATTCCCTTTATCCCCATAAACAAATAGAACCACTTCAATGGAATTCCGCAATTCCATTCTGAAGGGGGTGGGGATGGGTGAATCAAAGCTGGCGGTACATTGTCAAGGCACCAATGGTGAATGTGGATTCATGTTTGTCCTCTGCTCCCTCGATAGACTTGCTATGCCGAGGGTGCTGCAAGTAGCTCGTCTTCATGAAAACGCAACCGCCAGTCAAATGGACGCGAAAGCCAGGATGTGCGGACCACTCCGCTGCGCTTGCTATTACAGCAATGTCGCAATTGGTTTAGATGTGCACATGTGGCCCATCGAGGAGCCTGGAGTGTCTTATACTCCATTGCGGGGCATTGGCCCAAGGAAAACCCATGAAATGGCACTGAAGGCAACCAAAAGAAAACATAAGTGAACATACCACAGCCAGTGCTTCCAGTTCCCCTTCTAGTAGGTAGCCAGGGGAAACCATCCTTAGTAACCATGTAAAACCTACAGGCAACCTACCATGCTGTGGATTCACGAGCTCCATTTTGCACCAGTTCGGAAACCCTGATAGTATGATGATTCCCCGTAACCAACAAACAATGGCTTCCCATGGCTTCAAAGTGGTGCGACATGGATTTCGTTGTATCCACAGTGGTAACTGGAAGCGCTTGGTACCACATCCTTCCACTTCCTGGCTCCCCGGCAAGTTTTCCACCTGCTGCGCCCAGCGCTCGGAAGAGAGGCGCTCGCTTCTGACCTCGAGGCGTCGAGAAACCGGAGAAACCCGGCCCAATCTAAGCCAGTGGAGTTCACTCATCCTAACAATGATTGAGCAAACCTAACTGTAATGGGTTTTAAACCATAAGCTCCTTAATCTTAAGCTAGTGTCCTTTAAGGAGCTTAAGCATTCATCAGGCTAAGCTGATTCAGGAGCCAATCCATCCATGCTTAAGCAAACCTAAGGGCGGATGGACGAAATCCAGTTCGCACTTTGAAAACCATTGGCGAGCATTTACAGCGGAATCAAGAGCCGGGGTTCTTTGGTGCGACATGGATTTCATCCACAGTATCAAAGCGAATTCCTAGTATAGTAGGTTGCATGTTTCATACCAGGTAAAGGACCCCTGGTAGGACAATCCCCCTGCAGCATGCAGTGGGGAATTCAACTCACCTTTTCCCATTTGCTGATTCTGCTGGTGTCCCATTCGACGGGTAATCCAGATCACTTTTGCCTTGCTTGCATCTCCATGTTCCCTGCGGTGGACTAAATTTTGGGACGACTTCCCTCAGATATATTCCCGAATAGGGGCTGCTCTCCACAGCCTCTGCACAGCTTTTGTAAAGGGTGACAATACGAATGAGGTTGGTTCTCTGTCCCTCTCTTTGCCGCACCATCGGCAAGCCGTTTAGCAGTGGGGTGCCAAAAGCCAATTTCAGGCTGTCGGAAGGTTGTGCGCATCAAGGCTGGGACCTGTCATATCGCTAGGTTTGATAATGCTATTTCCTAGTAGGAGCAGAAACAAACAGGGCGCCCTCATCGCTACACATGCTTCGGCCCATCGGATCGCCTTCAACCCCAACTTGCCCTTACGTCATCCCATGGATTCAGCAAATGCTGGCTTCCATTGCATCCTCATGGCACTCCTTGAGTGGCCCTTGGAATGGCCCTTTGCTAAGTGTTTTGGCCATGGCTTCAACACCAGGGCCGTGCAAAGCGCAACCACAACGCCAATCCAATTTTCGAACTGATCTTCGCACAATAGATGGCCCTGGCAACTGGGGCATAAAACCAAGCTAAACCAGTGGAACCCATCTCTTTCTAACCAAACGAACCAATCAAAAGGACAGCACTGGATCATCGAGGCCAAGCCGGCCACTCCCGGTTTCTGGGGATCCCGACACCAAAATGGTCCAGTCCTGCTGCTAGATCCGCCCTCTGCAGGCAGCCGTTACCCTGGGAGTCCTCGCGCGCGTGAGCCCTTTGCAGTGGCACTCTGAAACTGGTTCTGCAACCCCGAAATCTATCCGAGGATTTCTGCCAACACACTAACACACACAAAAAACACACACACAAACACACAAACACACAAACCCACAAACACACAGACACACGGACACACGGACACACACACAAACACACAGACACACACACAAACACACAAACACGCAAACACGCAAACACGCAAACACGCAAACACGCAAACACACAAACACGCAAACACGCAAACACACAGACACACGGACACACGGACACACGGACACAAACACACACACACAAACACAAACACACAAACACGCAAACACGCAAACACGCAAACACGCAAACACACAAACACGCAAACACGCAAACACGCAAACACGCAAACACACAAACACACACACACACACACACACTGAAGGATCTGAAGGATCGTTTGGAGAACAGTACTCCTGTCCCGTAAGAGGATGAAGTTGAAGTTAGAAGTTCTTGAAGTTAAGCTTGAAAGTCCTGAGTGTTGCAGATCTGTCCTGCGTCCGGGGAGACAGAAAAAAGGTGTCACTGATGCCACCGAAGTCGCGAGATAGTCGGGGTCCGCAAGGCAGCTGAACATTTAATAGGGTTCCAAGGACCGAGATCAGTGTTCGGAAAATCCGGATGGTCGTGAATGCTCTGCAGAAAACAACACCGTCAACACTACTTGCCGTACTGGGGCAACAGACAGCCTGCGAAGAACGAAAAAACGAAGAATTCACAATGCAGGTGCAGGAGTTTGCGTCCAAACTCCCTTCTGGCTCATTCTCACAGCTTCATTGGCACGGCGAGAGAATGAGCTGCCGTGCTCAATATCCGCAGGCTGCAAGACCACAGCGTCAATCTCCTCATCTCTTGAAGAACGGCTGAATTCAGCCAAGCCAATCAAATCTGAATTTCTCAAGAGCGGGCTTGTCGTGAACTGACACTTGGTCAGTCTTGCAATTGCAAGTGGCTTGACTACTATAGTCATCAAATCTTCATCAGGAGCATAATCGCTCAATCGACTCGCTTTGATTCCTGCATCTGTGCTCAGTAAGCCAGACCTGCGAGGGTGTTCTGCAAGCCTTCTCCTCAGCTGTCAGATCTGCTGCATCAAATCTCTTTTTGCTCTGATGGTCCACAAAAGCCACTCTTGACATCCTTTTCAATGCAAGTCGAATTGTGTGGAAAGCATTCAGAGCACAATCCAGCCCAAATGCACCATAAATCACTCGCTGAGTTCTGATCTCAAAGTCATTGCCTTGTTCAAGCAATACCCGAGCCCTCCGTTCAAGTATGTGCTTCACATCTGTGCGCTTCGCTGGCGACCCGTCATAGACATGTGTTATATAGCCAGCAGCATATGAGCTTGGTGCCAATAAGCTCAAAACTTCTTGTGAAGCAACACCTATCCAATTTGGAGGTGAATACATTGAGAAAATGTCCTTGAGCTGTGCTGGGCACTCCTTTGACCTGAGTGTTACTCCAAACTCAAATGCTGCTCTGACCTTGTATGAATCCGAGATAGCATTGCCAGTGACAAAGTAAGTTCGAGCTTCTCCGATTTTTGAATGAAAGGAAAACTGCTCATCATCATCTCGCTTGTCGGTGCATCAAAGTGTTCCGGGGCTGCTAACACTCTGCATGTTGATTGGAGAGCAAGATGGTACCCTTTGATCAAACCATCTCCCAACCCACCTTTTTGTTGGAATATGCAATTCAATGCAAGTACCAACAGCCTCCGCAACTCTGATGATTCTCAGGCAAACGCATCTCAGCATCTGTCACATAGCAAACTGATCCAGACCTTGCATCTGGTGAGCCTGCTGTGAATTCACGAAGCAATGCATGCTGCCCATCTGATGTAGCAAAATCCGTATGCCCTGCACCGACCACATGCCTGGACAACTCGAGAATGTCTATGACTTTCTTTGCATCTCTAGCTCCTCTGTGCACCATGAATACTTCTCTTATGTAAGTTGGCCATACAATGTCAGAAGTAAAAGCGTGTACGAATCGCTGGAGTTCTTGCTTCTCGGAATAGTCTGCATCCTCATGCCTCAGAACATCCACTGCATCTTCCTTGCAAGTCAGGTTCTTTGCACCACCAAGAAGGAACTTACGTCCAGGTGACGTAGCGAGTCCTGCTAACAATGACATTGCTCTCACCTCATCAAGTGAGTTGACTATTACCACCAAGAACTCTGGTGGCATAGCCAAAGCTTCAGCTCCACACATTGTGCCCACGCATAGTTTGCCAACATTGCGCAGTTTGTTGCCATCTCCAACACGGGGTTTGTTCAGATTGACCCTGAGATCACCATGACGATGCAAGCTGACTCGCTTTTCACTCATCTTGAGTATAGACGAAAGACATTCCATGTCCATCAAGCCTGTGCTGTACGAGTACACGATGTGTGATAAACCAATCAGATCAACAATAGCTCTTCCTGCTTCCTCAACTTTCAGCAGAGAGTGCAACTTCATCAGCACTGTTTCTAATTGTTGGCTCTCCGCTCCGTCAGACCCAGAGTCACACAGACACTGACGAATTGAGGTCCTGAAATCTGCTTTCTTGAAAGCTGTCTGATGCTTGATGACTTCTCCGGGTACAGGTATGTACTCCTCCGACTTTCTGAGTTGCTGAGGCTCCAATTGGATTAGCTCCACTCTTGATGGCCAACCTCCACTCTTCTCATGCCATCGGAATAAGTCCCTCTTTATGCTAAAGGAACTTCAGCATACTCCACATTGCGTTCCGAAACTTCATCTCTGAAATGTGCCAAGAATCGGCTCTTGACTCGTCCTGACACAACTCCTGTCTGTCCTGTGGAAAAGCCAGCTATGCCGGCAGATTCATTGAAGTTTGATTTCAGGTGTCTGAAAGAAAGCTCATTCTCGTACTTGCTCGGAGGTGCCACCAATTCTATTTGCAACAGCATCAAAAAGCAAACCATCTTTCCCAGTGAGCTGAAACTTTTCCGACATATCCAGTATGTTGTTGCACTCAATAGTACGCATACCTGCTTTCCCTATGCGTTGGCCCAATGAGCTAGCTGCACCCGACTTGCCACCATCAACTCTTTCTGGGTCTTTCTTCATTGACCTCATCGGATCGAGAGCTTGCTGGCTCCAATTCGCAGATTTTCCACTGCCCTTGGCAATATGTCCAGCTTTGTCTGGATTGTCATCCCTTTTCTTCTTATTCGCTTCTGATGTTGTAGAACTGACGCCTTTCCTCTTCTTGCCTTCTTCATCCATCTCCATCTCATCAATGATCTTTGTCTTGTCTTCATTCGAAAGCTTAGGCGGAAGCCCATCCTCACCTTTTTGCTTTCCTTTGCTAGATGCTTGATTTGCATCTGCATTTTGTGCCGCCAAAACCGGGAGAATATTCGCCAAAAGCTCTGAGATGACTATGCCACCAGCCTTCTCTCGCAAAAAGGCAGGCAACTTCTCTTCAGTCTTGGAGAAAGCTTCTGCAGCCCTTCGGTTCGAATTCTTTATGGAATCAAGACTTGTCTGGTCCACATCCTTGATATTGCCTACAGCTCCCAATATCCCATCAGCATCCAATGCAGAAACCTTTCCAGCAGGATCAATTTTGAGCTCAGCAATCACCTTGTCCAGAGAAATTGCCATTGCGGCAAGCCCTCCCCACTACATCAACTACAAACACACACAAACACAAACACACACAAACACACAAACACACAAACACACACACACACAAATACGCAAACACACACACAAAGACACAAAGACACAAAGACACAGAGACGCAAAGGCACAAGGACACAAAGACACAGAGACGCAAAGACACAAGGACACAAGGACACAAAGCCACAAAGACACACACACACACATACATACACATACAAACACCAAGCGTATCCTTGCTGATCCTTGAACCGTGCTGTGCGCTAGCATGCTCTGGTTAACTAGCTAACTGGGAATCTGGCTAACTAGCAAAAAGCTAAGCATAGCAATAACAAACGATCTAGCAACAAGCTACATATCGACCAAAGTGGCTAGCCAATTGAGCGGTGCCGAAAACCCTGGCGCAAAACGTCGTGCCATGGATTGCTCGACAATACGTACGCTTTCTCAGGGCTTTCGCGGCGAGACCTTCTTTAAAGCACTTTCGCAAGCTTCCGCGGAATGCTCTATTGGGCCTCTTTTCTACTTTTCATTGGCAGGGTATATGGCGCTGTTCAAGTAATCCTGAAACAGGCGCAACTAACTATCTAACGAACAAACAAACTAACTCACTCACTAACAAAGCAAAACAAAACAACCAAACAAAGAAACAAATAAAACAATCAAGCAAACAACCCAACCAACAATCAAACAAGCAAACAAACACGAAACGGGAAACTTCCGGGGAGGGGGGGTCAATGGGCCAAACACGGCGCGCGCTTTGGGCCCGGCCCAAAGTCGGAAGGCGTCGGCTGGCCAGAGCTGCTGCGCGGCCAGGGCCCAGCGCAGGCGCAACAGCAGGGCCTAGGTCTGATAGGCCGATGGGGTTTCAGCTTCCTTCCAATCGAACCCCCAAAACATGGGGGTTCGACACCGCCCGGATTTACCCTCACCAATCTGGGTAACTTATACTATTTCACCAGCCTGAAATAAGGTGGTTGGGGGGCTATTCCCCACATAAACCAGCTTTGTGGTGAATTCGGTCGTGTGAGGTCATTATAATTCACCCAGTTCCAATTGGTGGTTTGGATTGGTTTGGTGGATAATGTTCGACCTCCTTTATTAATAGCCCCCTCTATTGTAGAACGTTTTTTCTAATTCAGGATCCTGTGACTGTTTTAGGGGTCCTCTATTATGGATAGTTTTTGGCCAGAAATGCCGGAAACAACGCTGGAAAAAATATAGGCAACAAACTTGGCAAACAAGTCGGGCAAAAACAAGGCAAACAATTCCTGGCAAACATTAGGAAATCCTTTTCTTGAAGTGCTCCCCAAACCATCAAATTTAAGATAACTTATTTACAAAAACAGTGCGGGCAAACAGTCACACAAAGGGGGGTGCCCAGAAGAGGCCCAGATCCTCTTTAGTCTGACTGTTTTGGGGTCCTCTTTAGTGTCCAACTGGTTTCGGGGGTTGCTGAAAAAAACGGTCCTTGGCAATACTAAAGTAGACTTGGCAATGCTAAAGTAAGCACTGGGAAGCTGAGAGCCAGCCTTGGCAATACTTAAGTAGCATTGGCAATACTAAAGCAAGTACTGGGAAGCTGAGAGCCAGCCTTGGCAATACTAAATAAAGTAGCATTGGCAATACTAAAGTAAGCACTGGGAAGCTGAGAGCCAGCCTTGGCAATACTAAAGTAGCATTGGCAATGTTAAAGTAAGGACTGGGAAGCTGAGAGCCAGCCTTGGCAATACTAAAGTAGCATTGGCAATACTAAAGTAAGGACTGGGAAGCTGAGAGCCAGCCTTGGCAATACTAAAGTAGCATTGGCAATGCTAAAGTGAGTACTGGGAAGCTGAGAGCCAGCCTTGGCAATACTAAAGTAGAATTGGCAAGACTAAAGTAAGCACTGGGAAGCTGAGAGCCAGCTTTGGCAATACTAAAGTAGCATTGGCAATACTAAAGAAAGTATTGGGAAGCTGAGAGCCAGCCTTGGCAATTCTAAAGTAGCATTGGCAATACTAAAGTAAGGACTAGGAAGCTGAGAGCCAGCCTTGGCAATACTAAAGTTGAATTGGCAATGCTAAAGTAAGCACTGGGAAGCTGAGAGCCAGCCTTGGCAGTACTAAAGTAGCATTGGCAAGACTAAAGCAAGTACTGGGAAGCTGAGAGCCAGCCTTGGCAATACTAAAGTAGAATTGGCAACGCAAAAGTAAACACTGGGAAGCTGAGAGCCAGCCTTGGCAATACTAAAGTAGCATTGGCAATACTAAAGTAAGCACTGGGAAGCTGAGAGCCAGCCTTGGCAATACTAAAATAGCATTGGCAAGACTAAAGTAAGTACTGGGAAGCTGAGAGCCAGCCTTGGCAATACTAAAGTAGCATTGGCAATACTAAAGTAAGCACTGGGAAGCTGAGAGCCAGCCTTGGCAATACTAAAGTAGAATTGGCAATGCTAAAGTAAGGACTGGGAAGCTGAGAGCCAGCCTTGGCAATACTAAAGTAGCATTCGCAATACTAAAGTAAGGACTGGGAAGCTGAGAGCCAGCCTTGGCAATACTAAAGTAGAATTGGCAATGCTAAAGTAAGTACTGGGAATCTGAGAGTCGGCCTTGGCAATACTAAAGTAGAATTGGCAATGCTAAAGTAAGTACTGGGAATCTGAGAGTCGGCCTTGGCAATACTAAAGTAGAATTGGCAATGCTAAAGTAAGTACTGGGAATCTGAGAGTCGGCCTTGGCAATACTAAAGTAGAATTGGCAATGCTAAAGTAAGTACTGGGAATCTGAGAGTCGGCCTTGGCAATACTAAAGTAGAATTGGCAATGCTAAAGTAAGTACTGGGAATCTGAGAGTCGGCCTTGGCAATACTAAAGTAGAATTGGCAATGCTAAAGTAAGTACTGGGAATCTGACAGTCGGCCTTGGCAATACTAAAGTAGACTTGGCAATACTAAAGTAAGTGCTGGGAATCTGAGAGTCAGCCTTGGCAATACTAAAGTAGAATTGGCAATACTAAAGTAAGTACTGGGAATCTGAGAGTCGGCCTTGGAAATGCTAAAGTAGAATTGGCAATACTAAAGTAAGTACTGGGA